GGCAAGAAAATCCTTCAAATATTAATGATTAACCTGTTGAATTGGAGATAGTTCACCTCTCAATGACTTCATAAATATCTGCTTCAATTACCTTTGGTAGATGAAGTAACCAATCATTCATTTTCTGATATAGCTGTACAACTAATCAGAAAAATTTTCAAAATAAATCACTTTAAAAATGTATAGTGTGTACCTTCTAAAAATGAAACCTACATCTATCTCTGAGTTGTGAAGAATATGTATTAAGGTTATAACAACCAACAAGAGTACACTTTTATGTAGAAATCCATGATTAAATCGAGTCTGCTTGACTAGTGATTTAAGTCAAATCCACCCTGATTCAATTCTCAGTTTCTGAGCAAACTGCTTTCTATTCAGTGGGGGGAAAGCCCCACAACTGCATTTAATTGATGCATCTGTATAAAAACACAGAGTAAAATCTTTTATTTTTTCGTGTCACATTTTTCTTCATTTTCTGAAAATTTCACAACAGGTTGGATTTAAAACAACCTAAGTGAATCTCAATATTTACAATCTGTAAACTACAACTGTCCTTCATATATCTCAATCTGTCTTCCAACTGACTTTGGAAAAAAGAATTGCAAAAATGGATCAGACCAGTGGTCCATCTAGTCCAGTATTCTGTCTCTAATAGTGGCCATACCAGCTACTTCTGAGGAAGATGCAAGAAAATCTGCAGTAAGCACTTAAAGGATAACTGGGATATTCTTGTTAACTCTTATCACATCCTCTCTTATTCACTTCTGCTCTAAAGAAAAGTCTCTATTTTTTCAGACTCTTTCCATGTGCTTCTAATAGTTCTTGTCTGTGAACTCCTCCTATTTCTGCAATATTCTCTTTGAGATGGGGTGACCAGAGCTGAAAACAGTATTCCAGGCAGAGTCTACCAATGATTTATATGATGATATTTTTGCTGGAAACTATATTTTGTTAATTAACTTTTAGTGCAAAGAGTAACTAAAATGTGTCAAGAGTTACACCAGGGATAAATTTGACCCAAAATATGTATTAAAGAAAAAACAATTTTTCACCAACAATAAAACCATCCCTTTTTTGTTTGATGAAGAGCTGGACCAGCAAAATCCCATTTCCTTAGATAGCTGGTAGTTCTCTAAGTTAACTACTTAGGGAAAAATATTTAAAATCTAACTACAATTGACAGAAATCCTATATGCAACAGAAGGAGTATGTGTACCTATGCAGAACAAAGCAATGGATCAAATTCTATCCGGTGAAGTTAATGGAGTTTCATTAGAGATATATTTGGTCCATTATGTTTATTTAAAAATAATCACTAGAAAACCAACAAATACATTTACTGAACAGAAACTGCATTATCATAATATTAAAGTTCTAATACAAAACAATAAAGCTAAAGTAATCACACTTGGGGGTAGTTTTGAACACTTGTGCACCTTCAAATACTTTCTTGATGGACTTTGGCCTAAGTGTTGCAAAACAGTTATATATCTGATTTACTTATTTTTATTGTTGTGTGTCAGTCCTTAACATACTTTTAATATTGTTTTTTTGGGTAAACATACCATATAAACAGAATACAACCTTACTTATACAGCCTTGTTTTGTGAAAATTGGGTGATTTGTACATTCCACTGGTTGTTTGGTTAGTTCTAATCTCGGCTATCAAATCCTTGTCATCTTTGACTGTTAGTGATAGAGCTAGTCAGTGTCACCAGGACACTTGAAAGTCTACTTGTGGCTCATTTTGTGAAAGAATGGGATGTTCTCTGTTACAAATACAAGTTTAAGGAGCTACTTATTTGTCACTTTTGAGAACCTTTAATACAGCTTTCAAATACTACTGTGTGATGTAATACAATCTTTTGTTCATAGGTAGCAGCAATGCTTAGTTGTAAAACCACATGACAATATGCATTTGAAATCCCAGATTCTACATATAATTATTGAATTAAATTCTAAAATACACTACCTGGTTATTCTGAAGTATTAATTGTTTTCTTTTTGTGAAATCATAAATTATAAATCCAGTTACACATTTTCAGATGTCAAGATGAACATTTTTAAAGGGAGAAAAGAAGGTTTTATTGAAAAGAAAAAAAACAGAAAACATATTTTTGTTCTCAGTCATGCAGCCTGTGTGTGTGGGGATGTGCGCACGCATGAGTGTATATAAATATACTTGTTAATTATGTCTCAAATGAAAAGCTATAAGATAAAATATTTCATAACTTTTGGAAGTATTTAGTTTAATATGACTTGCAACTTAGTTATCTCAAAAGAAATTAGAACAATGGTCTATCACTGGAGTAATTCTTTATGTGTTTTAGTTACTCTTTGCATTAAAAATTAATAATAAATTAATAAGTTTTCCAACTAGTGTTGCCAACGCTCCCAGACTGGCTGGGAATTGATCTCCCGGGGGCTGAAACGAATCTGGGAGATTTTAATAGGCCACTAAAAGTCCAGTCGGTGGCATAGCGGAGCTAAGGCAGGCTCCCTACCTGCCCTGACTCCATGTGACTCCTGGAAGCAACTGACACATCTCTCTGGATCCTAGGCGCAGGTACAGCCAGAGGATCTCTGCGCGCTGCCCCCTCCTTGAGTGCCGACTCCGCAGCTCACATTGTCCGGGAAGTGCAGCCAATAGGAGCTGCAGGCAGGGGCAATGCACAGAGCCCTCTGGTTGCCCCTGAGCCTAGGAGCCAGACATGCCAGCTGCTTCTGGGAGCCACCCGAGGTAAGCACCGCCCAGCCGGAGCCCACACCCCGAATTCCTTGCCCCACCCCCAAGGCCACTCCCACACTCCGCACCCCTCAGCCCCACTCCGAGCCCCCTTCTGAACCCAAACTCCCTCCCAGAGCCCACACCACACACCCGCTCCTGCACCAGGCTCAGCCCCCTCCCATACTCCAAACCCCTCGGCCCTACCCGCCAGCCCAAAACCTGCACACCAACCCCCTGCCCCAGAAAGTGAGTGAGGGTGGAGGACAGCGAGCGATGGAGGAAGGGAGGATGGAGTGTGTGGGGGCGGGGCGATCAGAGAAGGGGCAGGGGACGGGGCAAGGGTGTTTGGGTTTGTGAGATTAGACACTTGGCAACCCTTTTTCCAACCAAAATAATACATTTAAATGCTCAAATTTTCTTTTTGAAGGAGTAAATATAGTGTCCAAACTGATAATAGTATAATGGACCCAATTCTCCTCTCACATTACCAGGGCAATTCCACTGATTTCAAATGGAGTTACTCCTGGTTTACAATAGTATAAGCAAAAGGAGAATTAGGCTCAATAGTTCTTGAAACCCCAGGGGAGGTGTAGCCCTTTGCAACACCTATTCAACATGTGTACTGTCATTCCTGAGCCCTGTGCCTATTTTTAGGCCACAAAAAAACAGCCTCTCTGGGGCTGTTAGTCCTGTCAATAGCTAATCTCATCTGACTCTCCTTACATCCTCCAGCACTGAGAACCAAATTATGACTAACTCATGTATGAATGTGTTAGGGGAGAAACACTCCCTACGCTTTCTCTCCCACCCCTCCTCCAGTGCTCCCACACAGGGGAAAGCTGCTCGAGGTTAGCCAACAGTGAATTCTTAAATAGCTAAAATGAATATGATTTTAAACAATAAAATGTATTTTACACCAGATTACTATAGTTCAAAATTATCAGCATTCACATCTGTAAACAAGCAGTATAGTATAATGTACACGGGTGAGACCTCTGGTTTTTTCTTTGTTACATGAAACCGAATGGCAGAATCAAACCAAGTACATTTTTCTTTCTCTAATTTTCTTATACCTGTATGTCTCATTTTATTTTTCTTTCAGGTTCTCATTGAAATATTTTTTTTCAGTACCTTTCTGTAAATATATAATTACTTAGCAAAGTCCATGCTTTTCAGAACAGCTATTTTTATACATAAACTGATCAAATGGGTAATTGTAATATACATTAATAAACTTGAGAGAGTTTACTGGATTTCAAAGCAGAGAAAAAGCTTTGAAAGTTCTGAAGGACAGACCCGGACTATATTTCATTATGCAAACATTACAGTTAGCTGAAAATTTTCCACCAGAACATTTTTTCATTGGAAAGTGCCACTTCACCAAATTTGAAACTTTCTGAGAGAATGTCCTGATGTTGACAAAATTCTATTTAGAAAACTGAATCAAAATGAAGCATTTCAACCTTAATGGATTGTTTTGATTTTTCATGTCAAAAGAATTTTTTGTTTCAAAATTTATTTTATATTATAGTATAAATTATAATGTAAAATAAAAAAGTCAAAATAGGGAAAAAAAGTTTGCAATTTTATCAAAATTGAAGTTTTCAGTTGACCCAAAACGAATTTTTTTTTAAATTTTCATTTCATGGGAAATTTCAGGGTTTTTTGATTGAAAAATTCTGATTCAGAATAAAAATAAAATTTGCAATTGCAGCTTTCCTGAAAAACCAATTCTGATTCTCATACAGCTCTATTAAGTATACCATGCAAAGATGTTACTTACTAAGGCAAATTTTTTGTTGAGAATCATCTGCTCTACCAGTGATGATTCATTATGGAAGAGATGAGGCTGCATGTGACTCCACATATGGGGAAACCACCAGAACTCATCCACAGACCCCAACAACAGGTCATCACCTTCATCCTCCTCTTCAGTTCCTGCAAAAATATTCCCCAAAAACAAACTCTCCAGGTTTGTTATGTTGTTAAAATCATTAGGAAAAACAAGAGGAACGTTAGCAATGTAATATTAGACACCAAAAATATTTCAAACAAATTTGATATTACAGTGATGTTAAATAAGGATTTTAAAAGCTCTTGAATACACAACCCCTTCTCTTCCCATATAATATAGTGGAAAAACACACCTTCCTCTCTATGAGATTGAGCAACCCTCAAAATGCATGATATAACACTGTCGTCTCATTTATGTACTGCACAAGTAACATTAGAAGCTAATACAAAAAGCAGCTAAAAAACAGACCTATAAAAAGATGGAGTATTGAAGAGGATAAATGACAATGTTAACAAGTCTTATTCAGTGTAATTTATTCAGACAAAACTCCCGTTGCAATCAATCCTGCCTTCCCTTTTTCATTACATATGCTTTTCTGAAGTATTCTCCTACCAGCCTCTTCAAATTATCCTATGCCACTCTATTCCTTTTTCTTCCCTTCTAATTCTTACCTTGTTCATGATCTCATCACATGTCAATTTCCTGCTTATCCAGTTGTATATTGCTTCTTCCCATAAACCATACACATTTAAAAATCCTGTTTTAGCTTCTGTAAGCATCATGTTGCCATTATCATTTCACATCAAATGTAATTACTCATTTTATTTACTTATTCTTTTACTTCACTAATCTGATTTCTCTTCCAAACAAACAAAACCAAACCAAACATTCAGCTACTCTACTTTCTGCACCAATCACATTGAACTATCTATCTCTAACTCCCCTTCATATTTTCCTCTTTCTTCCAGTGAACCTTTGCTTTTTCCATGATTTTATCTCTATCTCCAGCTGGGGAAATTGAGTTAGAGACTCATGTTAGAAAGGAAAAATGGGGGCAGTCAGATGTAATGATGCAGCAACCTGTCTGGGATCTTTAAGTTGGCTTTCTGATTTTAACAATATGGTCATTTCAGGGATGCTCCGATGTTGAGCCAGTTCCATAGTAATTATTTACTATTTTACAATATGGCTCAGCTTGTACCGTACACTTGCATGTGGATCTGTGCTATCCCTGAAGTTCTGGGAGGGATTGTGCAGCCTCAGGAAGGGACAGTATCTGCTCCCCTCTGTGGCGTGGAGTGAGCGGGAGGGGGCCATATCTTCTCAGACTCCCTTTCCTGCCTCCCTCCCGTTGGGGTGGCTAGGACCTCAGGGAATGCTAGCAGGGACCAATGCATTCAAGAAAGAATGAAGACAAGTGTTCTCATCCCACCCCTCTCCCATGTAATCACCACAAGAGTCAGACACAATCTAACCCTGTATGTTCTACTTTAGCTTTGAATCAATCATTTTGCATTTCTCAGTCTCATTCCTACATATCACCTCACTTCCTTGATTTCATATTAATGTCCTTCAACTCTGACATTATCTTGTGTTGTCTTTTGTCTCTCTCTGTCCCTAATGTGGTCCTATTTTGCATGCATGATTGTTTCTTTGTTCTGGCAGCATATAACATCTGCTTCCCTGTGTAAACACATTGCCTTTCTGCCTACTTAATGCCTTATCCCTTCTTTCTTTCTATTTCTACAGCTGTTCTATTATGCTTGCATAGAAGTTTTGGTTTGTTTGTTTGTTTTGGTTGTTTACCTATCTGAAGATTCAAACTTCTGTATTGGTTACTTATATGAAGGGCTAAAATCTGTGGTCTTTAATCAAACAAAGCTCTCATTGAAGTCAGTGGGAAATTTTGCTTAATTAAGGACCTCAGATTTGATCATAAGATATTAGTGCTTTTTCCACACAGAACTACATGTGCCATGATGACAAATAAACAGAAGATACTGTAAGTTATAATACAATATCACCTGGCATTCAAGACAGAAGAGGCCATATTATCCATCTTCCTCCCTCATTGCAGGTTTGTGCCAGACAGTATATTCTAAGAGTTTTGTCCAA